AGTTGTCATGATTCCCAGCATCTGATAGTGGACTTGATACATTCTCAAACGTTTCGCCGGCATTGTAGTCAGCATCATCAGTGAGCTTTGGCATTCTCCGCACCAAGCTACGAACTCGTCAGAGACAAAACTACTTGTAGCTGTATGATAGGATTTGAGAGAAGAGGAAGCGAGAAGTTCCACCAAGCAAGAGGATGAGGCTTAATTAGTCTTGAATCTGGTTTTCAGCCTTACATCAAATGCAACGCATTCCCACAAAACGCATGCAATTAAACACAATAACATGTGGTAACATTGCAAAATCAAAGGCATAAGTGTTTTAGAAGAGGATTCCGCTTTTCAGTCACGATTGAACCCTTTTCACGCTTCAGCCGCAGCCACTTAATTTAATTTTTGTGCAAACATGCAAAGCATAGGCTATCCAACAAAAACATGAGGTGCCTATATGGACCCAATTGGACTATGAGAAGTAGGTAGGCTTGAAGCCGGCCACATTTCTTGCCTTTGTGTTTTTTGGTGAATTATCGTTAAGCGCAATGTCCTGCTCTGACGATGTCCGTTACATGATGGACGAAAGCGCAGCAAGGATTAATCGGGGTCGCAAGACGGTGAGCAGAGGATCTATTCGCACAAATCTACATTCTAAGCTACAGGACAATGGCCCACAGCTTCCGGTGGAACCAACTTACGAATCCCTTCCACTCGCCTCTTCAAATGAAATGGAAGACACTTCAGCATCCTCTTATTTGTGCTAATTTTACATTTTTTTCCCAATTCGGTAGGAGCAAAATGTAGACTTTGTGAAATGTACTGATTTCTGTGTCCTCTGACATAGTAATTATGATAATTTCCAGTATTGGACCCTTGAGTTATTGTCCTCAATTCTTCATAAGAAATATAAGATGCATTGATCCAAACTGTCAAAGTTGAAACAGGGTGTAATATTTTTTAGAGCATAATATAAAAAGTATAATATGCAAGTTTAACTAAAATTGAGTATGGATTCTTACGTTTATCGATAGAAAATGAAATACCCAGGACTTTACAGTGCCAGCCATAAACACGACTCTGAGATCCATCTTGCAGATCAGTAAATTGGTCCCATCGCAAAGGGAGAAGACAACGGAAGATTTGCATGTCAGCCAAAGATAGAATCGGCTGCGGCAGCCACATACGATGGGCATGATCTTCACATGAATCCAAAATATTGGCTTCTGGCCCGATTGGACAAGCCTTTGAATAACATGGACGATGTACAAATAAACGGTTAAGGTGTCGAAAATATATTATGATTTTTATTATCAAAAGTACTAATGATATTTTGTATAAATCCGAGAGATTAAGATAGCTAAACAATTGTTTCCAAACGTTACATCAAAATATCATACCTCAAAATAAAAATAATCTAAGAAAAATTCAATTAATAAACAAAGAATATAGACTATAACTTGGTAAAACGTTAGTAATTTCTCGCAACGGTCAGTGGTAAAAAGGGTTTTCTTAAATAAATACACGAAATACTTGGTGTTATGCATTAAACGAGTTATAACGATAAAACGGAGTCGAATATATTAAATGAAATTTATTATTGAATATAAGTTATTTGACCTTGCTTTACCAACTTGATCATATTGACAGGAAGACTTAGAGGAAAGCACCTAGTCCGGAGTCCATTGTATGCATAATCATTTCCAGAGTAGGACCGTGGATGTGGTACATTCATAGACATTTCGCTGGCATCGTAGTCGGCATCGTCAGTGATTTTTGCCATTCGTAGCACCATATTACAACTCGTCAAACGGACAAGTGAAGCACATCCCTTGACCAAACGTGCGCTAAACAGTATTGGTATCTCCCCTTCTGCCCCGGGCTATTCACATTTCCTATATCGTCAAAGGATGGTCAAAGGTCAAAAGATGAGCTTCACTTGTCTCTTTGGCGAGTTGTAATATGGTGCTGCGAATGGCGAGACTCACTGACGATGCCGACTACTATGCCGGCGAAACGTCTGGAAATGTACCACGTCCACGGTCCTACTCTGAAAATGATTATGCATACAATGGACTCCGAACTAGGTGCTTTGCTATAAGTCTTCCTACCAATATGACCAAGTTGAGAACACAAGGTCAAACAACTTCTATGGTAGATTAAGCTCATCAACCAAACCAGACGTGCCAAATTAAGCAGTCCCAGTCATGCCTTTCCTTAGAGGTTTAAACGTTAGGACAAGTGGTTTCGTAACTTGATTCACATGCTTACAAGCTCATATCTCATTATCTCAATCATACT